TTGTTGATAGATATGTATTAATTGCCATTTTATTGTTCATATTTTTGTTTTTCTTCTCCTTCAAAAAGACCCATCAACATTTCATATACTAGTTTGGTGGTGATAAATTCCTTTAGCTTTTTCTTGTCTGGGAACCTCTTGCTATGTCCATTGATTCTAAATGATAGCATTGCAGCATAGAGTAATCTTGGTTGTAGGTTCGTTGCTTTTCATCACCTTGAATATCTCTTGCCATTTCTTTCTGGCCTGCAAAGTTTCTTTTGAGAAATCAGCTGAGAGTCTTATGGGAGCTCCTTTGTAGGTAACAAATTGCTTTTCTCTTGCTGTTTTTAAGATTCTCTCTGTCTTTAACCTTTGGCATTTTGATGATGATGTGTCTTGGTGTGGACCTCTTTGGGTTCATCTTGTTTGGGACATTCTGTGCTTCCTGGATTTGTATGTCTGTTTCCTTCACCAGGTTAGGGAAGTTTTCTGTCATTATTGTTTCAAATAGGTTTTCAATTTCTTGTTCTCTCTCTTCTCCTTCTGGCACTCCTATGATGCAAATGTTGGTATGCTTGAAGTTGTCCCAGAGACTACTTACACTATCCTCCTTTTTTTGTATTCTTTTTTTTTTTCTGTTCTGATTGGGTGATTTTTGCTTCCTTATATTCCAAATTTATGATTTGCTTCTTGGCTTTACCTACTCTACTATTGATTCTCTGTAAATTATTCTTTATTTCAGTTAGTGCATCCTTCATTTCTGACTGGTCCTTTTTGATGTTGTTGATGTTCTTACTAAGTTCCTTGGAGGCCTCCCTACGTTCCTTGAAGGTCTCACTAGAATGTCTCACCAAGTTCCTTGAGCAACCTTATAACCTGTGTTTTGAACTTTGTATCTGATTGATTGCTTATCTCTATTTTGTTTAATTCTTTTCCTGGAGTTTTGTTCTTTTCTTTCACTTGGGACATGTTTCTTTGTCTCCTCATTTTGGCTGCTTCCCTGTGATTGTTTCTATGTATTAGGGAGAGTTGCTATGTCTCTTAGGCTTTGAAGGGTGGCCTATTGTTGTAGGTGTCCTGTGGGATCCAGTGGAACAGTCTCCCTGATTACCTCAGCTGGGCCTCAAGGTGCATCCCTTGTGTAGACTATACACCCTTCTGTTGTAATTGATTTTTGATTGCTGTTGGCATGTCAATGGCAGGGATTTACTCAGGCTGATCAGTTGCAAGGATTGGTTGTGCCAACTGACCACTGGCCTCTGACTACCTTGGAGGATCAGCTGTGTAGGGGCCCACCACACAGAGCAAGACTTACTTCAGCAGGGCTCTGGTACCCACTGAGTCTACTCATTGAGTGTGTCACTTGTGGAGGGTTTGGGTGGTGGTGTTTTGATGTGGTCTAAAGCTGTCCACTGGGTGTGCTGGCTCTGGGGCAAGATCAGCCACTGCCTGTGTTCTATCTGGGGCCACCCAGCATAAGCTACAGAGTGATTTGCAAATGAGTGCTTCTTGTGCTGGGCTTGGAGGTGCCCAGGAAAAGCCAAGTTGTGAAGCAAGGCTGGCTGGTTACTTCTAGTGCCAGGCCTGGGGCCACTTAACGAGAGGTATGGGGCTCGCTGAGACCAGATACTGCTTGTTTGAGAGATTTTAGGAAACTCTGAAGCAGGATCCAAGACAGGCCAATCCGATGGTAAAGCCTTTGGAAACAGCTTGGGTGAGCCTGAAAGTGGGGTGAGGTAGGGCCTCAGGGCATCACCAGGGCAGAGCCAACAGTGTGAGCCAGGTTGCTGGAGTCCCAGATATGGCGGCTGTCTGCCGCCCCCAGGGAAGGGCTCACCAAAGGAACAAAGGCCTCCGCCAGCACCTCTGGCCAGGAGAAAGCTGCCTCTCCAGCCCTCATCCTGAGACCAAATAGCTCAATTCTTCCCTGTATGTCTCTGGTGTACCTCAAGCTGCCTCCCCTCTGAACTCAGAGGGAGCCAGTTCGATAAGTCTGTGCGTGGGCTCTTTAAGAGGAGCTGCCTGGGGCTCCAGAAGCCGCAGCCTCCCTGAGCCTCAGTTCTCACAGGTTTTGCAGCCAGAAGTGATGGGGACTCTCTTCCTGGCACTGGAGCCCTGAGCTGGGTGCCTGATGTGGGACGGGGACCCCTCGCTTCTCAGGGAGGACCTTCCCAGCCGAGGTATCGTCCTGATTTTTATCCACCACACGCGGGTGTGTGACCAGCCCATCTGCCTCTGCCCCTCCTACCAGTCTCTGTGTGGCTGCTTCTTTAATTTCGTAGTTGTAGGACTTCCATTCAGCTCATTTTCAGGTGGTTCTGAATGATGATTGTGTTGTAGCTGGGTTGTAATTTTGATGTGGTTGTGGGAGGAGGTGATACTGTGTTTAACTATGCTGTCATCTTGACTGGAGGTCTCACAAATTATTCCCTTAAAATTATTGTTTTAACTCATTTGTTTTTCAGTTGCTCATATTATTTTTCTGTCCTACAGATCTCTGTGAATGTCAACAGAATGATTATAGTGTTAAGATATTGTACCTACTGGAATGGGTGAGATGTTTATGGCTTGACATATTGAAACTAATATTTGTTATATAAGTGCCATGCATAATCACTTTTTTGGTCACTTATAGCAATGAAAAAAGAGTAACATTCTGGAATCCTAAATGTCTTGTGGTCTGTATAAGAGGTGCTTTATGATTGCCTACACCCATCATTTCAACTAGTCAGTGTTCTACCAGTGGTTTTCTACCGAGTCATGTTTATTATAGTTATTTGCAAGCAGTCATTGGTGTATTTACTATTTTATGGGTTTAATATAATTGCAATACAGGGAATCTGAAATCAATTAAGTTTTAGCTGGGACATGCCAGTTGGATAATGAAAGTGATTTGGAAGTGATCCCATTGTAATTAGCTAGTTATTAATAACAGGAAAGAAGCAAAGAGAAGTGCAGATATTATAGGCATGCCATTTAGACAGCTTCGCCAGGAAGCTACAACTTGACACTCCCCAGGGGTCCAACAAAGGGAGGATTGACACTGCCCAGTAAAGTTGGAATGACATAGAAAAGTCCCTTGCCTGTCAATCACACGTGGGAACATAGATGGTTTGCCAGAATGGGCGTGGCCACTGCAAATGCATAAAAATTTGGGATACTTAATTCCCTGAACGAAGAAGCTCACTCTCTTGGGCTCTTGGGCTCTCCTGGTACTTTTGGCTCATGGCTCACACTTGACTTCCTGGCATTCTCCTGTGTGGCCCACAGCCATGTAGACCCCCCGACACAATAGTCGAACAAACTGCAATTAGCCTGATACTGTACTGGATCTGTCTTCAACGTGGAAAGAAAACTCTGGACACTGGTTTTTGCTTCTAGCTTTACTAAAACTCCAGCTGTACTTCTTGTATGACTGGCCTTATTATAATTTTTTAAATATGTTTTTATTGATTTTTTTAGAGTGAGAGGAAGGGAGAAAGAGAGAGAAACATCAATGTGTGAGAGAAACATCGATAGGCTGCCTCCTGCATGCTCCCTACTGGGGATTGAGCCTGCAACCCAAGCATATACCCTGACCAGGAATCAAACAGGGATCTCTCAGTCAATGGGCCGATGCTCAGTCCACTAAGCCACACCAGCCAGGAGGGCAAATGGGGCTTTAAAACCACGGGGATTTATTTCATGCAAATAAAAATCACTTGTTCTCTCATGCAAGTCTCAAAAAATTCTTTTCCTCGGAATATCACTCCCAGATGTCCACTCCAGCACCACCTAGTGGGAAAGAGGACCCCTTACTTTGTTCGTTATCAGAAGCACAGATAGATATTCTGTGGGGGAAATCATCCTTGTTGACTATGTGGAGACTCAGAGCTCTGCTTTTGGGGGGGGGGGTGTAAATAAAGCTTTGGGACCCAAATAAGAAGTATGTGACTTATATGGAATGTCAACACGGAGGCTGCTTTTTAATCCATGGACTAATATGTGTAGATTCTATTGGAGACTCAGGACTGTGCTATGGAGGTTGGAGAATGGAATTCATTCTTCCTTCCATACACCCAGGATGAAATGTTAGTGTTAAAAGAGACCTTCGTGCTCAGCTGGCCTAACATCCTAATTTAACAGTCGAAGAAGTCGAGAAACTAATTTAGAAGTCTGAAGTCACCTAGTCACCATGGTTTGAATGAAATCTTTTGACTTTAAGTCCAGTGTTCTTTTTCCTCTACCCATGTAATCCCTTCCAAACCTCAGTATCCTTCAGTGTTACCTAAAAGATCCCAAAGCCATGGCAATGGCTACAATAATGGGGAAGCTAAAGGCTCCACACCATCTTAGTATATGTGTAATCTTGGGGAAGTTATTTAACATCTCTGAGTCTCAACATTCTCATGTGTGGGATGGGATAACAGTGCCCCTCTAATAAGGTTGTTATGAGGATTAAGTTAGGTAACACTTGCAAAGCATTTAAAACATTGTTATTAGTCCAAGTTCTTCATCCTTTAATAATGAACGCTTAATTGTGTATACATTTAAATTACTCGAAGGGGATATTGCTTTATTGGAATTCAAGAAGGCATTAGTCAACTTCTTTTTGGGTCATTTTTTTTTTTTTTTTTTGAGATTTCTACATTCTTATCACAGTTGGGAATTTCAAATTTAACAAAAGAAAATAAAAAATAACATCTAAATTCACTTGCATATGTTTCATTCTTTGATCACCTGAAGGAAGGCTCAAGGAACATTAAAGATTACAAATTTTTGCTCCAAAGTCACAAAGATTTCTCTTTTGTCTTCAGAATTATGTTTTAAAGGTGAAGTAGGAATCGAATTTTTCATCATATTTTCCAAATATTTATAATATTATATGTATGTGTTTGGGTGTTACAAAAGGAACTTCCTTTGTAATCTCTTTAAATACCTTTGAACATAGTGAATCATAAGTTTTTGGACTACCATGTCTTGTCAGCTTAGAATGCAAGAGGTATTCAAATCTTGCTGATGCAATAAATTTTTCCCCTAAATTTTAATTACACATTTGAAGTCCTGATTATACCTTAGGGATTTATTTGCTTATGAAAAGTCAAACTATGAATTACAATATTGCAGAATACTTTCACTTTATCAGATTAGTTTCACCATTCATTTCACAGATACAATTTGTAAAATTTTGCAATACCTAGAAAACTACATTACAAAAAGGTATTTAAATATAGATGAGAAAGATAGATGTTTGCCTTCTCTTTTTGATATTGATGTTAAATAAAAGATGGAATGTTTTTATGTAAAACCAATCCCTCATTCCCTTCTCCCCCCAACCACAATAAGTGAATGGCAATGTGAACAAAGGCTTTCTTTAAATATGTTATTCAGTTCAAGTGTGTGTTAGGAAAAAAGGCCTATTCTGTGTATAAAATCTAGCAACAAAAAAGGCAATTGTAAATAGAAAAATAAAACATGTAGCGGAGACAAATATTTTGTGCACACAGCTTTAAAATCCCAATAGGGGACACATGATAGAAAGAGAGAGACCACACACTCATTAACTTAAACATAAATTCCCTAAGAGCAATATTCTAGCATGTTCATTTGCCATTGATTTACCCATTGAAATAAGTACACAAGTCTTGACCAGCAAGTAGTATCTTAATTTTACCATCTAACAGTTCAATTGAAATGGAATAAAGATTTTCACACAAATATCTTAGTAACATAGACTTTCCTGGATTGTAATAGAGTATCCACTCAACAGTCACTTCACAGGTAATGAATCTCCTTGTAGGTGTCATCCCCTCATACATAGCTGGGTCTTATATTGAAAAGGCTCTGGTCATTTTTTATTTAAGTCACAGGAAAAGATTAGAGAATTGGTTAATGAAAACAGCTGTTTTTATTTGGAAATCAGTTAAGAAATCTAAAGTTATGATTAGAATGTAATAAAAGGAAAATTGCTGGCTGAGTTTCCTCCCTTCTTTACAGTGATATGGTAGAAATACAAGAAAAATGCATTAACATCTTTTAGTTAGGAAATCTGGTCCCTTCACTTGCTATGGGGCTCAGTTTAGAGTAAGAAGAGAAAAAAAATTTTTTTGGCTGCAGCTGTAGTAAACAATGAATGATGAAAAATATCGTAGAAATGTCTTCAAGAGATCTGACAAGTCAGAACACAGACCTTATCACACTGATATTGTCTACACTCCTCCTCAAACCTTGGCGAATGAATAACTGACCCCTATTTCGGCAGAATGAGAGAAGGAAGCACTAGTTGCGTCAAAACAAAATTATGAAAACAACCAACCAACACAAAACAGTATTTCTTCTCCCGAATGATAAAGACATCATGTTTGCATATAGAACAGCTTTTGCATTATTGCTCTATGTATCAGAATATATTAAGGAACTCATAATAGACTGCACATTACAAACTTAAGGTTCTTTGGTGAAGAATGAAAGAAAACAGTATTTGGGCTTTAAAGAAAATGATCTCATCCACTTTGCTTTTATCTATTGATCCGTTGGATCCTCTCGCAGAGCAGGGAGAGGTACTGTGTGAGTTTCACCATGGCAATGATCACCAGGCCCCCAGCCATCATACACGTTGGCCAGAAGAGTGAATGGAACAGCACATTGGAACTGTAGAGTTTGGTTAGGATGACGCTCTTCTGGTTTCCTTCCGGGTCAGAATAGCAGGAAAAGTGTTGGTACTTCCTGAAGTTTTCCATGACAACATTCACCAGGGACATGGATTCTTCAAAATTTTTTCCACACTTGGGTATATAGGAGCACTGTGGAAAATGAGACAAATTGTCACCACAAGATACTGTGCGTGTCTGTCTAGTACTAGGAGAAGATGGGGTATTGAGACTAACTTAATGATCTGTGAAATAACCATGGTGGTTATTCTTTTCATATTCAAACTAGTACCTCCAGAAACCCTAGGAACTCACACATTAATTAAAATAATTTTTTCAGTATAAGGCCAAGATTTACTTTGATAGTTCACCCATATAAGTTTAAATATCGATTAAAATTGGATGATATCAATGGATTCTTCTTGACATAGCTAAGCAGAGTGGGTTTTAATTATTCCCTAATGAACACATTTTTCTATGGAGTCAGAATGTCAAGCTTTCTGTCTTTTGTCTGTCAAAAGCCACCAGTTAATTCTCTCAGGGAAAGTAGTTTCTCTTATCTTTTTGGCTTGGCTTACTTTATTCAGCCAAGTCACCTTCGTCACCTTGCTACTGTAGTCAAGAAAACAGATACCTTTGGTCAACTGCTAACAAAGAATGTTGGAAAGTGTAGGAATATTGAATAAAGAGCTGTGATGAATGTTTCATACCCAGTTAGCATAATAAAGTAATTTTTCCAAATTTTGTTAAAAAAATTAAAACAGCACCAAGTCAGTTTACTCTTCAATTAGCACCCATCTGAGAACTTAGAGTATCTTTCCTTTGAGCTTTCTACTTCTCCATCTTTCTTACTATATTTCTTACAGTATGTCTCTTCTTTATTCCTTTCTATACACTTATATCCTTTGATTTCTTTCTTTGAATCTCTTTTTCTTCCTGCTCTGTCCCTCCCCTTACCCCGTGTTATATTTTCCCCTCTATTCCTTCTTCCTGTCTTCCTTTTCTCATCTCCTCTCTCTTTCTTCTCTGAGTACAGATGGAATTAATAAACTTTGTAGTTTAAAAATTATTATTTATTAGATAAAATTTTCAACACATTTTCCTAATTATAAAGAAGTCTCTGAGAAGAAGAAATCTTCGTGACTCTCTTTCCTTGGTCTGTAAATGGGCAGTGACAAAACTCATAACAAAGAGCCCTGGCCGGTTTGGCTCAGCGATTAGAGAGTTGGCCCGCGGACCAGAGAGTCTCAGGTTCGGTTCCCGCTAAGGGCACGTACCTCGGTTGCAGTTCGTCCCCAGACCCGGTTGGGGTCGTGTGGGTGGCAACCAGTCGATGTGTCTCTCTCATATCAATGTTTCTCTCTCTCTCTTCCTTCCTCTCTCCCTCCCACTCTATCTGAAGATGAATGCAAAAATATCCTTGGGTAAGGATAAAAAAAACTCATAACAATGAAGCTAACTTTTGAAAAAGTTAGGAAAAAAGTCATTTAAGTCATTTTCCTGGGAACTATGTGGATGCTTGATTAACTCTTTCCCCTCTCTATGGTAAAGTGCATCCCAAAAGGAAAAAGAAATCCCTGTCTCTAGTTATACACATTATCAAGTAATTAATTTAACTGATTTATCTGTATTAAATTGATTTGTGACAAGATCACTGCTAATCTATAGTGTTTTAGTGTAATTTAGAAAACTATGCCTTTTCTTCAAAATTGTTATTTTTCTGTTGAAAAACTGTCATAATATGGGTTTAATGGGGAAAAAATCCCACAACCCCCTCCCCACACACACATTTTACTGCTATTACCAACTAATTAGCTGTTATAAATAATTGCATCTATGACTTTTACAATGTGACTGACAGTCTTCGGGCTGTGAATGCACAACTCACATGACTATGCAGAAACACAGCTGAGGTGGGCTGTTGGAAAACATTGAGGTACACTGATGGGAGCTTTGGGGTAGGATCCTGGCTCTGTACAGCAATTTAGACTTGAAGATTCCACAGGAAGAAACTATAAACTAAATGGAGTGAGTTTTGCTAATGGAGTATGTTTGGTTCACTCTCTCCCCTGACTTCATTAGTGGGTACACTGGCACTTGCTTTGTTTGCCGTGCTGTCATCATTGGATTATTTGACTGTATACAGCGGAAGACTTCTTCCATTAGCTAAGAATGGGGGATGAACACGCTGGCTTGATTGTAGACCAGGCTTAAAGTGATATTTTCATAACAAGAGCTGGTTGACACCTTCAAATCTAATCAGCTAAGAATAAAGGTGAGTGAGTTGAGCAGAGAGCTGCTACTAGCACAACAGTAAAGGTCTGAAAGTATCTCCGAGAAAGCACAATTCTCAGTGAGTTATCACTTTGTACAAGAATTTGCCTATGACTACCATGAAGCGAATTCTCTACCTGCAGGATGCATTTTGGATCAAGGGGCAGTAAACAGATATACCACCCCTCCCTCTTCAATGCTACCCAGATCATGCTTTAAACATTTTTTAAAATGTTTTTGGAAGCAAAGTATTAAAAAGAAAAATCACAGACAAGCCGTTTGTGGTTGAACTCAAATGGAGCTGATTTAGATTACGAATGCATCAGGCTTCAGTATATTTTTGTGCCAAGACGGTTTATAATAGTAGATTCGGTGGCTAAGAGTACTAAGTTATTGAAATGATCTCAATAAAATACCACTCCATTAAAAAAGGAGGTTTTTCTTTTCTCATGCTCTTGTGAATTGATGTGGCTTTTAAATATTTTTCAAGAAACGTTTGTCACCTAAATGACAATAATTCTGGCACTAGGTAAGATTCTTCCAAATAAAATGACATATAAATTACTTTTGAGACCATCTAGCAAGGTTGTAATACAGAAACTGTAATACAGAAACTGTATTATAGTTTCAAGCCATCAGGGTCTCAAATGTGCAGATTTGGACGGGCCAGATGAGGCATATTCCATACATTGTTGGACTTGGGTCCTGAGAGCCTGTGGCACATACAAGTACAACTCCACATAGCTGGTGGAGAAAAAATTCCTTTGCCTGTGGTGAGTTTTTAGTTTTTTCTAACCTTGCCACCTGCCACGTCTTAACACACATCAACTAGCTCCCACTAAGTCTTACTGAACCCTGAAAACTCTACCCTATGTCAATCATTCCTTTACTTTTCTTACTGATAGGCTGTCTGTCGTGACAATGAACACATGATGTATGTAGTCTAACGAGCCCTCTCTGACTTGTGTTTGGGAGATCTGGGTACTGTATTTTTATAAACAAGTTACTTGGCTCCTCAGAATCAGCTTCTTCTTTTTCTTTTTCCCATATTTTTGTTCAGATAGAGTGGGAGGGAGAGAGAGAGGAACATTGACGTGAAAGGGACACATCGAGTGGTTGCCACCCCCACGACCCAACCAGGGCCAGGGACAAACTGCAACTGAAGTACGTGCCCTTAGTGGGAACCGAACCCGGGTCTCTCTGGACTGCAGGCTGACCCTCTAACCACTGAGCAAACCGGCCAGGGCAGAATCAACTTCTTTATATAATAGGGTTAATAGAGCCTTTGTGGCAGGGTTTGTGCAAGGATTAAATGATGAATACTAAAAGCCTCAATACATTTTCCTTAATGTATTTTCTTGTTGGAATATACAGCTGTCCTCAAGTCTTTAACCGAGTGCACATACTAAACTATGAAAACTCTGGGAGGGCAAAACTACTAGTCATATGGTTTTTGCAGGAATAGTCCTGTTGAATGGCTCTTAGATTCCTTGCTTTTGTGTCCAAGGAGATTTGACATTATGCTGAGTCATATGTTCAAATTCTAGGTTTCTGTTTCTGGGGCCATGTATATGTTTCCGAGGCTGGTATGAATCTGTGGTGAAGATTTGATGGTCTTGTGATTTCATCATATGTTTAAAGGATACTTTGATGTGATTGGTTTAGATTACATAGAACACATTTTAACAAATGGAAGCTTTATACAATGATCTATACTTAGCTGTAAAAATGTAATGTGGATTAAAAAGATAAAAATCCTGGCATTTTTAGATCATTTTATATTTTTAGTGGGATGGGAAAGATTTAACTTTTAGACTACATGAAATATAACACCAAGCAACATATGAATAATAATTTTATATACAAAAGACATGTAAGTACTAATAAAAATATGTTATTTATTTATTTATTTTTTACCATGGCTATAGGTCATTCTGTCATGCCTTAATATACGAATATACAAACCTAGCAAACCTCCAAGGCAGCCATTCGGCAGGAGATAGACCACATCTCTCTTCTTCATCTTGAATTTGGTTAATAAACCTTTCTGCCTTTCCTCATCCCCTACATTCTCTTTACTATTGAAAACCACAGAGACGGCCCCACACGTGACCTGTCCTCTCCCAGCCGAGGACCCCTGGCTCCTGTCACCTCCTCCTGACGGCCCTTTCCCATACGCGGCAATGAAGACTTCTCCCCAGGTCTCTGGAAAGTCACTGAAAGGTTCTTTTCTCAGGCTCACTTCTAGAATCTTTTACGCCGATAGAGTTATTTTTATTCTCAGGCTAGACAGAAGTTTTGAGTAACGACCTTGTGGGCTTTGCTTAGACATGCTTTTGGGGCCTGTATGAAGCCAAAAGTGACAGTCCTTCACCTGAAAATAAAAGATTTGGGAGGAGTGGGGGCTGAATAACCTCATGGGTCAGACTCCCTTTCCTTATGATGGTAGGAAGGGAGGTATCAGTTCTCAAATCGCCTTAGGGGAAGGGTTTATTCTTTTATATAAAGGGGGTTGTCTTATTTCAGAGAAGGGTTTAGATGTTTAATAAAATCCAGTCACTATTTTCTCCAGTGTGCCAGGTAGCATTCTAGACATAGGCATCAAAACATAAAAAATATAAGATAGATCAATTAGAGAGAAACGGGAAAGGGATGCAAAACAAGGCTGGGTGAGGAAATGCACCAGCATGAGGCTAAAAAGACTTTCAGTAAAGGCTGTGCCCATTCACAAAGGTGGGCTGCATGTTTGCTCTCAGAGCTCAGGACGTTCTAGTCCACGATGTCTGTGAGACGAAAACAAAAACAAAAGTAAAAATACTGCTCATGCGAAACATAAATACTCTTGGTTCCTGCCCTGGTCGGTAGGGCTCAGTTGGTCA